TATTATTATTATTATTATTATTATTATTATTATTATTATTATTATTATCAGTATTATTATTATTCTTTATATTATATTAATTGTTATTTTTGCCTAATGGTCTAAATTGATTATTATTATTATTATTAGTATTAATATTTATATTAAATGTTTAAAATGTCTAATTGCTAATTAAGTGTGTAAGTACTTGATATTTATAATTAAATATTAATGTTGTTTATATTGAATGTCTAGATGTTTAATTGGTATTAATTGCATATATTGATTGTTATTATTATTTTTAATATTTATAATACAAGTTTTTATTTGCTAATTGTTAAAGGTGTATTATTAATAAATATTATTATGTGCATATATATATTTACTCGGTTTTATTTCAATTATCGTGTGATCTTTATCAAGCCTCGACTATATTAATTATTGAACCGAGAGACCCGACTCATACGACTCGGACCCGCGCCCCGCCCAAGAAACCGACCCGCTTTCTTATTTGGATGAAAAACTATCTAACTAAACCCTAACCTCACCAATTTAAGTTGTTCAACAACCACAGCCTTTTCCTCTCGCAAAATCACGTCTCTCTCCCTCACGCAAGGAAGGAGAAAGGGATACTCATTTCGATATCATCCCCCTCACTCTCGTTTAAACCGTTAATCACTTTCAACATCGTGAACCCCGCCACCACGTTCAGTTTGGATCGCCGTGCATCATCGTGAGCAGACCACCATCATCGCCCACCCCGTCAATCGTCCAGCAACCTAGCAACCCGCGCCTTCCGATCTTCATACGACTGAACAATTCCGGCGACGTCGAGCCGCGACTTCTAGCTGCCTCTGTTCACGAGCAGCGCACGTAGGTCCCGTGTTCTATTTTCTGAATGCGAGAAACCGAGGCAAGTCCCGAGTCCCGCCCCGTTCGTTCGACCCGTTTTTCCGATATTCCCGAAGACGGGTAAATTCTTCGAACCTCTTTGGTTTTTCCTGTGTATTCGTGTTATTTTGCTGATTGTATCATGCTCGTTAAATTGTTTAATCATTGGTTTATCGGCTCGTATGATCGTTTTATTCGTCAGATTATATTTACCGTGAGTTAGCGTGGACGTTTTGGAACTTTCGTGTACTGTAAAAAAAAAAGGGGGTCGAGTCTTGTTGCTGCTGTACTTATTTCATTTGAATTCGGAGTATCGATTTTATGTCTGAGTCGTTATTTTTATATATGTGTTCGGTTGGAGCCGATTATGTCGTTTTTCATTTTCGATCATTATAATCCCATTTTTATAAAATTCCGAGACTCTAAAAACATGTTTATTTCATTAATGTTATAAATTCTAGAACCCCGATTGCCGTTGGATATGTCGTTGTCAAGTTCGATCGAGTAGTTGTCCAGTCGATCATATTTTCAGAGCTTTTGTAACTTTCTCAGTTTTCTGTTCAGTTTTCTCCGGGTGGCTTTCGTGTTTCTTTATTTTTCACGCAGGCCAAGCAGGTTGTTGATTTTATTGTTTTTGTTAAGTCAGTCCAACCTCTGTTCAATAATTCATTTTCCTACAGCAGCAGCCTTTTAGTATATGTCAGCTTAATTGTTTTGTTACCAGTAATAGCTTATTTCTCGCAACCCAAGTGTTAGCCTCTGTTCTCAGGCCAGCCCCTTAGCGTAGTCCATTTTTCTTTTACTCGCTGGCCCAAAAAAATTGAAATTCAGACGGCCCAAACCATGTTAATGCACAACCCACTCGTAAGAGAAGAAGAAGGCGCGCGGGCCATATAGCCCGAAGCCAGCCCGCGCGCGGCCCGTTTCTGTGAGTTGCCTCAACCCGTAATCTCTCAGCTTCTCTGGCCCGCGTGTAAGCCTAGAGCCCGCTCCCTTTTTCCCTTGGCAGGACCCCTTGCAGCCATTGAGGGTCCCTTCTCTGCCCAATTGCGTGTACTAGGCCCAAGTTCTGGGCAACTGTTTGGCCCAATAGCGTTATAGCACAACCCATTTCGATTTTAAGCCAATTTTTGTGTTCCGGAGCCAGCTTTTCGCGCCGATTTCATTTTTAAAAATATTTATGAATTTAGAAAAAATTTTGGGAATATTATTTTAAGTCCCGAGGCTCCAATTTAGTTCTCCGAGTCCTATTTTTCTAAAATGAGAGAGAGTTCCAACTCTACGAAAAATCCTATTAAAACCCTTAAACTTTAATTTCGATTAAGTGTAGGTTTTATGTTAAATTCGAGTAGTGAGATAGATTTTTGATATATTATCTTGCATAATTGTAGGTGTTTGAAGAGTCGAGCCCTTGACCTACTTACCTGCTAATTTTGTGTGCTATCTCCTACCTCATAATCCAGGTGGGTTTAATTATAAAATTACTATGCTTTAATTAATTGCTTTTGTTCTGGTATAATCAAAGTATGCATGTGAACTATGTGGCCTTCGATGTGAGTTGTATCAGCCGTCGAACGGATATCCCCGACTACGAGGTTGTTTCTTTTATAGGCAGTCTTCTCATATCGTTGTAAGGCAACATTGAGGGGCATTCGATATGGTACGTTGTAAGGCCACATTGAGGGGCATTCGGTATGGTATCGTTGTAAGGCCCACATTGAGGGGCATTCGGTATGGTGTCATTGTAAGGCCACATTGAGGGGCATTTGACATTTACTCCTACTTGTATGGGATTCGATGAAAGGCCACATTGAGGGGCATTCGTTGTAAGGCCATTTAGTAGTCTATGGTTAGGTGTGCACACAAGTAAGAACTCAGGGATATGAGATGGGATAGTTGATTGATTTGTATACATGCTGCGACCATACTTGTCCTATCTTACGATTATTGCGTTAACTTATGATTATCATTTATCGCATAGTGGTGAGCACTACTGTTTCCTTTTGTGCTCATCCTCATCTGCTCTTCATGGATGCAGGTTAGTATTTGCGGGCACGACAAGAGGAGGCGAGTGGTGGTTATAATACTGTTTTTACTTCCATTGTTTGAACTGTCTAGTATCAGTTATGCATGTATGATTTATGTTGAGTATCGGATGATTGATAGGGAGTGTACTCCCTAGCATTTACGAATTTGAGAAAACCCAGTTTTGGGAGTTGATATTGTAGATGAACCCGGTTTCGGTGTTGGCTTGATTATTGAACCCGTTTGGGAGATGCATTTATGATATGATTGGAAATTGTTTTGGAAATGAGTAGCGCCTCAAGTATTTTGAAATAAATTTTGATAAAAAAATTATTTTGATTTTCGTTAAACAAAAGTGGGGCGTTACAGTTTGGTATCAGAGCCAGTCTGTGTTTCTATAGACTAGTCTAAGTATGAAAGTTTGACCATGTGAACATATGCTTGACCTTGTGTTATCATCACTCGCTCTCGTCGTGTCGCGCCATCTCAGGTATGACTACCTGAATGACTTTGAGAGTACTGTGACATATTTGATTATTTGAATATTGATATGAAATTGGGGTTAGGACTTATCCATCTTTAAAATTTTGGACTCTAGTGTTGAACTCTAGACTTCTTTAATTATGGTGCTAAACTTTTCGGTTGTTCAATGTAGAACTATAGCACGTCATAATACTCGCAACAATCAGCCTACTCCATCTCCATCTCCACCCCCATCTCCCCCTCACCAGCAGGCTTCCAACCCGGCTGGGGCTCATCTCAACATCGTGCTCCAGTTTCGCCAGTTGACCCCGCCGACTTTCACCAGGGTCGAAGGGCCTAAAGCAGTGGCAGAGTGGATCCGTCAGTTAGAGCAGAACTTCGATTTGTTGCAGTGCGCTGACGCCCAGAAGGTCATATGTGGCCGCTATATGCTGAGAGGCGATGTCGCCTTATGGTGGTCCGGCTACTGGAGACTGAGGCAGGCATAAATTAATGTCCTGACTTGGGAGCGCATGAAGGAGGTAATTATGGGGAAGTATTATCCTCAGAGTTATCGCATGAGGATGGAGCGCGCCTTCTGGGATCTTACTCAGGGGACCAGCACGTCGAGGATTACGAGCGGGAGTTCACCCGCATGAGCGCTTTTGCCCCGCACATGGTAGACACCGACCTGAAGAAGGACCACATGTTCCGGAATGGACTGAACCGAACCCTCCGTATGCATGTTGCTAGCCAGGGAAATCTTTCCTATGATGAGACCATTATTCGATCCATCCAGCTTGAGAGTTATCAGACTCTCGATGCTTCTGTTCCTTCTGCTCAGCTAGTTCATCCCATCTCCTCCGTACCGCCCGTCTCTAGTTCAGGCAAGAGGAAGGCTGATTTCCCCCTGGACAACCAGGAGGGAAAACGTGGCGGGAACGACCGACGTGGTGAGCGCCCCGTCGCCTAGGGACAGAATCAGAAGTGTCTTATCTGCGGCCGTATACATGGAGGACAATGCTAGTATGCTCAGAAGGTCTGCTACAACTGCCAGCGCCCCAGGCACTTTGCTTATGCATGCCCCGAACCCCAGAGGTAGCAACCAAACCAGCAGCAGCCCTCCCAGCAACAGCAACAGCTTCCCCCGCCACCACCTCAGCAATAGATCCGGAGCCTCAGCAGCAACATCAGCATCAACAGGACCAACCGAAGTTTGGCGAAGGAGGTCGAGCACGAGTATACACGATGGCCCAATTTGAAGCCGAGCAGAACCAAGGTTGATCAGTCGATCGAATGTCAGATTAGACGATTATTAGTTCCTTCTTTTGTTAGAATTACATTTCTCGTAATTTTTTTGGCAGATCTTGTTTGTTTCCCTTTTCTTGCTAGACAAGTTCAAATTTCGTTTGAGACTCTTATTGGTTATTTTGAATTTCGCTTTGAGACTTCTATTGGTTATTCAATTTTCGTGATTTGGAAATTTCTCGTTCTTTTTTTTTCCTTGCGTGGGATGAGATTTCAGATGGGGTTAAAAGTCTTCATTTTCTGTTGATCATGATGTGTTCTCGTAAAATTAGGACTTTTGTTCCATGACATCTTTAGGTCGATGTGAAGGGTTCAAGAGAGCGAATAATGTTGCAACTCTTGAGAATACATGGGCCTAGAGATAGGCGTGAATCAATCATCCTTTTTGTGAGCGAATTGAGCGTCATGCCGGAGGATCGCTAGGATTTTCAGGCCAGTTCTATTAATGTTTGAATCAGAAAAGTCTTTAAGGAGGGTGGTCAAGGAGTCATGAGGAAACATCAAAATCAATCAGCTAATTGACTCATGGTGAAGTACGAGTACCCTGACAGCAAAGTCGGAGTAATTGGATTTTGTAGTTTGAACTGGGGTCGCAAAACACCAGGGAATTTTCAATATTCATGCACGTATCAGCACTGGGAGATATAACAGTTGATGAGAAATGAACTATAGCTACTGGATGCGGGTGGTGCAGGTGTACTGCGTGTTGGTGCCGCGCACAGGCGTGCCTTGCTCGATGATGCATCTCGAGTCGTAGGAAGTGTCGTGTGTAGTGTGCCGCATGTAGCGTGTCGCGTTGCCGCATGCTAGTCCAACCATTCATGTCACAGCTGCCAAGTCTTTAGCGTGTAAATGCGTGTCGATTCAAAGAATTTTCAAAGTGTATTGCAATGACCTAAGTCTTAAGTCTTGCTTGGAGGTTTTATCTTTATGAGTTGTTGTGCTCAATTGCAATGTAGTTACCACGTGAAGTGAGGAGCTTCGTGGTAAGAGAAGAGGCTACGGCCAGGTAATATTAGTTCTATGATGACCCTCGACCAAGTGTTAACTGCACCACTGGGAATTACGAGGATGCATGACACGTTTTATGTCTCATGATAGAGGAAAAGTGCGCTTGACCTCGAAGTATGTGTGTTTTGTGACGAGCTGCGTGTTAGACAGAACCCTACCTGTATGGAGGTACCGGTTGTTGGAACCCACGAGGATCTTGATATGCACAAATCACGGACAAACATTCAACATAAACCTATGCGCAGCGGATCTAAAGGTTTGATGAAGAAAACTTACTGCTTAAAATTTATGTAGATCTGGCTGGCCCGGACAGTTGACCGCAAATCAAATCTTCTCGGAATCGAACAAACTTGACCAATCCAGAAAGCTGACGTCACGGCGAAGTCAACGACGTTGACCGATCGGAAATCGGCCCTCTCACGCGCTCTCACGCGCGACGACAAACTACGGCGACTGCTTCCTTGCGGCGGCGCGTGACGGCGCGTCCGGCGATGGTTGGCGGCGATATCGACGGCGATCTCTTCGTCTCATCGTCCTGGTCGTCGTGGTATGGTCACTTGCTGGTTTTGGTCTCCAGTTTGGATGTATGATCGGAATCTCTATATACCTTAAGATCTTCTACTGTATTCTCAAACAGCTTTCTAGATCTTGTATCAGTGGAACACAAGAAATAGAAGAACTCCTTGGAAGAGAGAGAAAGAGAGAGGGGCGGACGACTTATACAAGTTGTGGGATTGTTCTCTTCTTCCATGAGCCTAATGCTGTATATATAGAGCTACAGTAGGGACCCTAAGGAGAATAGGATAAGAGCTTCTAATATATTAATACTGTGGAGCAACCCCATAATTAATATATTAATAATATTAAAGTCCACCACAATAATATTATTGCACTCCCCTCACCTATCCCAAGTTACATTTGAGACTCCTTATTATAATTATCCGATTTACCTCCCCATGTTTAAGATATAATGTCCATTAATTAATTCGATCACTAATAATCAAGAATTAATTAATATATTATATTACCGAAGCTAGCGCTCGCTCATAGCATTCATATTATGCCGGAATAAATTCACCTGCAGGGTTTAGCATAATATTCCTTCATGAACTCACTTCGGGGACATCATCACACTAACGCACATGGTGACCGTAAATATCCTAATAGCACATCGAACACATAATGTCATTACCCAATTCATTAAGTATGTCGACCCGGCTTGGATCTCACCCAAAGAATCAAAGCAACAACAATTATGTGCACATGCCTATTTAATATCTTACGGGTTAAGATCACGCAATAATTAACCGAGGCCTAGTTCGTTTACGACGATTAGTATAAAACGAACATCCCTCTCTGGGATCCTGTTCAATACATAAATGTACTAGTGCAACTAATCGGTCAAGACAAACCGTACGGTTGACACTACATCCGTTCCGATGGGTTTTTCAATTCCATCTAGGTTGTGAACCAACGATTCTTGTTTCGCAAGTAACTGATATAGTGATCTTCGGTACGCCCGATGACGACCCACTTATCTACATGCAAAACAACAGAACATGGAACTTATTTAACCAAACATAATTCTCATTCATCAAGGAATAACAAGTGTAATATCCACTAAAGCAAAGCTTAAGTATATAACACCAACAATCTCCCACTTATACTTAAAGCTGCCGCTTTACTAGTATAGTCCTATCAATCCGTATCCTAAAAGACCTATGTCGATCCTATCACCATACATTTGACTCCCATTCCCTCTACGTGTTTAACGAAGACCTTCTCCGGCAAACTCTTCGTAAAAGGATAAGCTAGGTTGTCTTCTGATGCAATCTTGGTGATCTCAACTTCTCCTCTTGCCACAATATCTCTGATAAGGTGGTATTTGCGCTCTATGTGTTTGCTTGCTCTGTGGGCTCGTGGTTCCCTTGAGTTTGCTGCTGCACCACTGTTATCACAGTACACGGTAATAACACGTGGCAAACTCGGAATCACTTCTAAGTCCAACAAGAAGTTTCTGAGCCAAACTGTCTCTTTCGCTGCCTCAGAGGCTGCGATGTACTCGGCTTCCATAGTGGAGTCTGCTACGCACTTCTGCTTAGCACTCCTCCATGAAATGGCTCCACCTCCCAAGGTAAACACATAACCTGAGGTTGACTTACTCTCGTCCCTATCTGACTGAAAATCAGAATCGCTGTAACCCTGTTATCATCCGGATCGGTAAAACTACATTAAGAGATTCCAAACGTCACATTAAGAGGAAGATGATCATTGAACCGACGTAATTTTAAACACCACCCCGGTTCAGGCGACGAACCGGACCGAACTACCGAAGACCGCAGTGGTCAGCACCTACCGAAGTCTATCCAAACCGAGGTCGCCACCTCCTTAAGCAGGTGACAAGGTGCCTACGCACAACCATCCCACTCCACAAGATCCGTCATCATTCATGTAGGACCCACTGCTCCAAACCGCCCACAAAAAGCTACTTTATTCAAAAGAGTAGTACACGGATCCCAATGTATCTACCAACAATTACTATAAATAGTGAACCCATGACATTTGTACGGGGATCTCTCTCCGAACTGAAAAAACTTTATTAAGCAACACGCAAAAGCCCATCACGGCTCTTCACCTCGGTTCACCTCGGACCGGGGCCATCGTTGAAGTTATTCTACATGCTTTACGTCCAAATCATTTATAATTCTCATCTTAATCACATATTACATCGTTGTTAAAAATCACATAACAACAGTTTGGCGCTAGAAGGAGGGCCTCATAAGTGATTTGAGGTTAATCTCTGCTTTTTCACGTAACGGTTCATACCAGCCATATCCACCATGTCTCACTCAGATCCTCGTGGTCACACGTCGCGAGACGGCCACAGTCGTAGCGCCGCGCAATCCGCCAGACGACAAGCCGTGGCTCCACCTGTATCGGATTATGCTGTTCTGTTTCAAAATCTGGAATTTGCGCGTGGTTTTGCCGCTTTAATGGCCCAAACGATGCCAGGAACATCGACAACTGCTCCGAGACACTCCATCATTCCCACGACCCCCGCGAACCGACAGAATCCACCGGCGCGACATGACGGCGGAAGGACAACATCTCATGCTACA